TCCGCACAAAAACCAGCTCAAGGACAAAAAAATTATTGGGACGAATTTCAATATTGTCTCCAATTTGCGTTTAGTTTTTCGAATAAAAAAGGTGCCCCTTTGATCCATAATTATTTCGACGCATGGCTTATACCCGAACGGATAATAAGTGACGAAGAGAAGTTGTAGGAGCGAAACTCCGCCAGCGTCCTGTCCTTGTTCTGTCGGTCTCATTTTATTCTACATAATCAGTGAGATCTTTTAGCCATGTAAGCATACTTTGTAGATGGTGCTACTACTTTTTTGAACACTTAAAGACTTATGAAGTGTGACGTTAATTCGGATATTTTTGCAGCAAGCCCAGTTTAATAATCCTTCCTGAGGCTTTAAAGTATGGTGGATACATGTTTTGTAAGCAACATTTTTAAAAATATATACAACTAGCGTATAAGCCCGTCTCCCGCCGGGCTTATTTGATTTTCGGGAAAATTAAGTGACATTCCTTATAATTCCACCGAATTATTTTTGTATTTTATCTATATTATTAGCTGGAAATGTCGGTTGGAAACGGAAGTGAAAGCTCTCCACTTTCACTTCCGTCACGGAAAATTGCTTTCACTTCCGTTGCAGACAAACATTTCCAGCTTATAATGTAGATGTACATAATCCTTTAAGGAAAGATTTACACAAATGTGTAGCAATCGGAAAGACTAAAATTTGATGTGATTTTGTCAAGGTGAAACGGTAGAGGTATTTTTTCTTGAATTAACTAATAATTTGGTACAAATCCTTGTCTACATATTAGTAGACTGAAATTCGTAGATAAGTTCGGTGAATTTGTATCCCCTTAATATTTATCACTGCTTTTAGTGTGTTAAATTTCGTGTAACAATCCTATTAGGAAAGAATTGCACACCTTTCCAATACCATGGTCAGTTTGTTAAAGTTAGTTTGTTTGTGCACAAGTAAATACTATCCTCGCATTTAGGCGTGTCACCTCATTTGCATAAATCTCAATAGCCCATTTTCGGCGATACGGGCTTTCCATGTTGAGTAGACTCTATGACTCTCTCGAATGCGTTAAAATATGCAAATGAGGTGACAGAGCAGAGTACGCGGAAAGTATGTAGACTTGACACTAATTTGACTGCGCAAAGTTCCAACAGGTTGTGAGGATAGCTATGTAGTTAATTTCTCCTGCAAATTTGCACAACGAAAAGTTGGACGATGTGTATAGGAATCAACCTACGATTTGGAATGGTTTAGCTTAATTAACCTGGAAGATCCTTCAGGACAACGTACTGTCAACTGTGCATAAACTATGTGCAGGATTCGAGGATGGGTAGTGATAGAGACATCTCGTGTTACAAGCTTATTTACCAGAGTAAGGTCATTGCAAGAAACGTACAAGTACTGTACATAATCAAAAGGCTGTACAATATTTATGCAAGGCATCCATATTCGATGCATCATTGAAACCCAATTAGTTTGGTAATGAGTCATGACCCAATTTATTTTACGTAATTTCAACTTAGGCATCTGACTAAATTTGATACTTGGCGGATTTGGATATATACATATGCACCAAGAAGTATGAGAATCAGAGGTCAACGCCGACGGTTTACCCGGCGGCGGCGTGAAAATGTATATTGGTCGGCGGCGGCGGCGCGCCGCGGCGCGGTGATGAAATATCTTCGGCGGCGCCTACATACATACATAAATTACTAAACGCTAAATAGGAAGGATCTGAAACACTCTAAATTAGCATTGCTAATAATCTAAAATCTACAATATTTCTTGGAGAATGTAGCTTTTCATTAACTGTTTTTTCATGCACTTGACAAGTTTTATAGCAAAATTTAACATCTTAGACTTGACCATATGAGGTGTTAATTACAACTGTGTCAAAGATCACAGTTTTTATCATTGCACGCAGTTGGTTGTAACATTTTTGACATAATTTTATGATGTATCCCTATTTTAGGTAACCTAAACGAAATTAAGGATATCTAGTTTAAACATGTTTAAAGTAGGTAATAAGCCTTTGCCCCTATTTCTTGCCTGAAAAGTCAAGTAGTCAACTACATCACTATTTGATGGAACCGTAAATGTGATCTGGTAAACTTCAATACGAAATTTTTTAAAATATCAATTTTTAAAATTAAACAAAAATATTATTTTTAAAAAACTTAAATTTTAAAAAAGTTAAAAAATATTAAAAAATATATGCGGCGTTGACTTCTGATGAGAATATGTGTTTCGGTATGAACATATTTGGATTATTATCCGATTTATTCTACAAAACCAAATAATTTATAATACTTTATAGATGATGTATTGAATTTAGTATAGTCTGACTTACTTGAATATCTATACTAATTGTTCACATACCATTAGTGTACATATGCAAGTAGTATGGTTACCGTGCAATTCATTACCCTGTCCAAATAGTTTAGAAAGTATTTCATTTCAACTCCATTATGGATGGTTCCCACCGATCTAAGAAATTCGAGACATATTGAATTCGGCAGCATAGAATCCAAGAGCCTTTTCCGATACGGATCCCTCCCATCTTCACTGCGCAACCGCATAAAAAACGTTCTGGACAATACCCCAATCTTTGCAATCACGCAGATAGAAAAAAATTCAGTTACCATGGAAACTATCCAAATCGCTATGGCAACCAAGATTAAACTCAAAGATTTCCCGCCACGACTGGATACCTCGATTAGCACCGAAATATGTGCGCCAGTAGACAACACCACTGCAAGAAAATGATGCAGATACGGCAGGACGAGTTCGCGGAATAATTCTTCCTCAATCAAGGTCATGATACGGAGCATGTTGTACATCTTAAGGGCAGAATGGAAACCCAGACCCCCGCAAAAGTGAACATTCTTTCTATTATTTCTTTTAGGTGTGAGGAATAACATCCACACTAAGAGACACGCAATGCTGCTGCCGATAAGGAGAGCACAAATTCCAAGCGTGGCTAACATCATTGTAACTCCAAGCGTGTTGATGACACCGAGGGAGAATTGAATAGACATGGGAACGATGGGAGAGTACATTTCGAAATTGTGGATGGCGCGTAACATGGTGTATAGCGGATTCCAAGTAAAGAAAGACAGAAAGACGGCCAAATGGGACAAATGAAATTAACTAGGCCAAAAAATACGGTGGGAACGCGAAGCATTTGTCTGCGAGTGGCGTCAAGACCTTCGTCTGGTTTGTAGTCCAACTGAGGAATCATGGCTGAAAAAGGAAAGTGGATTTTTATTTATTTAAAACTCATTTATTCAGTTATGCTAAAAATTGGGGTTTCTAAAAGGCCGTAACTTTACCAATTTTAATCAAATAATTTGATTCAAATTCTTTCGGAAGGGATCCGAATGTTGGAAGCATGGTAAAATAATAGTCTCGAACGGTCAGAATTTTAAAAAATTGTCGAAAAACTACTCACATTGGAATTCCTTCTCCAGATTTAGAAGAACATCAAAACATGCGACGTACTTCCTAACGCCAGATGGTTTCATGAGAACCCTGGCTTCCAAGAGGTAGCAGGGAAGGAGAAAGCTGATAAGATATGTCAGCCAAAGGGTTGGCTTATTATCAATCCCTTCTCCTGACGTCCACAGATGATAGCATCGCAACCACATGACGGGAAATATGAAGAATGTGGCAAAAATGTTTACGTTTCGAAAAGCTTGTGCATGCCATTTTTTTCTGGGTTGGGTGACACGACTGTTTTTAGTGTCCCAGGCGAGATAATACACGGTGTACAGGGTGGACCTCCGAGTAGAGATAACGGCGTTGTGCAGAAGATTTTTTAACACTATCTCCAACATTGTCAGTTATGTACGTTAGTTTCTCGAAAATTCTAATATACATGTAAATAGGTCCATAAATTTATATTAACTTCAGCGTCGCAGTTGAAAGAAAGCTATTGCTTGTGTCACGCAACGTACACCTATAGTTTTTAAGACGATAATAAATCCATCGTGGGTATTTATGTAATCCGTATTTTTAGAAATTGTTAAACAATTTAAAGTGCAAGAGTGCATTAGAAGCTTTAAGCTTTACGAAAATTAAGCTATAGGTGAGCTAATGACGTGGCTTTAATGAAAAATTACGCAACTATTTACATAAGTAACTACCTTGTTTAACTCGACGTAGGGAATGAAGGCAATCTCTGTCTGGATGGTGGATCAACTTATGTAATAGGAACAATTAGTGCAAATTCGGGCCACTGAAGATAAATTGGTACCTGGGTAATTGCAATTGTTAAATTATTAATTTGAATTATTTTCCAATGGCCTCCTTCTGATGGACTATATTGTTCAAAGTTTTTTTCGATAATTTTGTCTAAGTGTGACTGCCCATTCCTGACAATTTTACATCACACGGATACATATTTAGAAGAATTTCCCTTTGCTGGAACTATGACTCCCGTAAAGGGAACCGCTTTCGAAGGATGACCGGGCCATCCTCGGAAAGTATTAAAACTGCCTCTACAACTTCCGGATTTATTAACGGACCCAGTTTCCAACCGAATTTCACCCGATATGAAAATTCGTGGTATCCATGAGTTGATGATCATGTGTGGAAAGATTAAGGTTAAGGGATGTTACAGAAATGGAGTAAACCAGACCACGTAATGTAGGGACACCTTTTGTAACAAATAAAGATTGTGGAAATGTGAACAAGGCTTATCACCCACAATTGTCAAGCTTATTTTAACCTGTAACCAAAAATAAATACATAAAATATTTCTTAACAAACATACAACATTATTAGCAAACATTTGCTAATACATACATTACACATATATACTCTCGCCGGTAATGATTTAATATTCCAAAGAGTGCATCGATTCATTTAAAAAATTAATGTCATTTATAACAATGAATGATTAGATAACACAAACACGATTCAAATCAATGACATAAACTCGTGTCCTCATTTAATTACTCGCGATTAATAATTTTTAACTGCGATTGAATATAAATGGAAAACTTGGCAAAAATAAGCTCACTCATATTTCGCCAGGAGTTCAGATAACAATTCAAAATGCGTAACACTACTTCGATTTCCTTTATTTTCTTCGTTTCCGTCCTAATTTCGTTAGGACAAAGTCAAATTCCGCCAGATTTGCAGCTCCAGATTAACACTTTGGTGGACGAGTTTATTAACTTCCACAATATTCCGGGCCTGGGTTTATCCTTGATAAAGGGCGACGGTGAAATTCTGTATAACCAAGGGTACGGATTTAGAGATATAGAAAATCAAATTAATGCCGACGATGCCACCATTTTTGCGATTGGTTCTATCTCAAAGGTATTTATAAATTGTTTGAATTGAATACTTAAATTACGAATTAAGTACACATTGTAAACTCTTAAGCATAATGCTACCCTTCTAAAGAGTGAATGCACAATAAATTCTACATTAATTAACCTCTATATACCAAATCCTGAGAAAACTTTGCAATTTTTCGAGTTAATGAATTTAACGTAACCTTGGTCTGGATTTGGGATAGTTTACAGAATTTGGATTGCATTTATCTTTCGAAAGAGTAACGTGATTTTTAACAGTGTGTAAAATTGAGATCATATGTCATTAATTTCCAACTAATTTTTCTAGAGTTTCACGGCCACTGTTATTGTACGAAGTCTGTCCGAACAATTTCACAACCTTGGGGAAATTGTACTAGACATTCCGATCCGACAACTTGCCCCGTCCTACAATTTCACTCTCGGTGACAGGTAAAAAAATTCGTAAACTTTTCAATTTTTATCCAGGCATTCATTTTTAATCAATACACTTTTAAAAATCATGCTACCATTAAAAAAATAAATGCACTCTCAACTCTACACATATGCACTGTTATATGTATACATAAGTCTAGAGTAAACTTTACTCTATATCAGCGTTACTCTTTAAATTGCATTAAGAATTTAGAGTGCACTGAAATATATATTTACGTTTCAAAAGGGTAACATTATTTTTAAGAGTGCATCTTAATTTATTTAGATATCGATCCGAAAGTATTACATTTCGCGACCTCTTATCCCATCGAGTGTGCATCTTACCGGAAAGCATGGGCATTTTTGTCGACCCATTCGGCTCTGCGGAAAATTTTCTTTAGTAATTTTGTTTTAAAATTTTATTAGTGGATTTTTTTCGAAATTTTCGAAATTTCTACATATGTTGTAACCTTCATGTTCCATGTTTAATTCAGCCGTCAAAGATATGCCCCTCAAGTTTGTCAATTCCGAGGGGGCTACGTCTACAACAACGCCATGGTCGCACTCGCCAGCAACATTATTGGTCACCTTGCCAACTCGACCTTCGATGTCATCGTGAGTTCTTGACACATATGTATGCAAATGAGCTGACACATCAATTCGTCATCCTGATAATGATGATTAGTTACCTACATGACTACTTAATTAATTGTCACCCCAGTTGGCCAAGTTGTTCACCGATATCGGAATGAATGACTCAACCGTCGTGCGGCAATCGGACGATCATAACAATATGAGTAATCGATCGGTACCTTACTACCAGATGGATGGGCAACTGCACCGGTTTAATCCAGAACTTTTGAAGTGAGTTATCAGTTATTGTCGGCAATATTATGTATGTGGCATTAATTAATTAGTAACAGGTACATAGATTAAAATTAAAACGATGTTATTGAATGATTCATTTATCTGTAATTGACTTGTGTATCACGTTTCAATTAAAATGGGTAATTAGATTTATCTAACCTGCTCTTGAGTGAACTTTTGAAGTGAGACAGGTTGTCAGTGATACTTGTTTAGTCAAGTACAAGTTTAGTCAACTTGTTTAGTTAAATGATTCATGGAATGATTAATTTTATTGAGCTATTTATTACTATTTTTGATTTAATCATTAATTAAAATTGATATTTGTTGTTTGTACATAGACCAGTCTCCATGGCGATAGGGTCGGGTGGAATTCTAACTTCAGCTCGGGATATGGCTAAATATATGCAATTTCATTTAAATCAGGGGAAAGTTGGATCTGACCAAATTGTTAATCCGGTATTCAATTACATAATTGAACAGAAATTCTTATTTAAAAATCAGCAATCCAGACAAAATCTATTAAATACTTGTATATAATTTAAAGGAAGCAATGCAATGGTTATACCGAGCATCCAATTTGAACGTGTGGGGATCATTCCGAACGGAAAATGCAGCCTCATTCCTCGACCTCACCTATTCTTACGGCTTAGGCCTCGATTTGGGTGTTTATGATGGTAAAAAAATAATATTAAGAAGGCGAGTAATATTGAGAACACTATTTTAATTAATTAAATCACAAATTTAATTTGCGTATTCAATTTATACTCAATGTTTCTATAATTATATAATTTAATATGTAAATAGGATGGCAGACAATCTATCATGGCGGATTTCTTCCCCCCTACGAAAGTTTTATGACGCTCGCACCAGGCTTAAAGCTTGGAATTTTCACAACCTTCAGCGGACCGGGGTCCACGCAGGAAACGGAATACCACCAGCAGCGGTTACATGCTAAGATTTTTGACGCTGTGCTAGGTTTGTGGCTAATTTTGTTAAAAAACAGGGTCTTTACTTACTAATGGGATATTCCTTACGAGTTAAAAAATGCGAAGTAAATATTCGGTGGGAAGTTCGCAAATGAATTTTCGAGTCAATATTTTTTGCCAACGTGCGAAATTTTTTGCTAACATTACGATTGATACGAGCTCGTAATGAATACCCCTAATATATTTATGCTAATTCTTTCAGGAGTGAATAGATCAGACAGTTTCCCCAATACGAGATCAATTTCCCCACGTTTTAATGATGCTACAATTCTTACTAAATCAAAAGTTGAGAAAAAACCTAAATTGGGAAACACCATTAAAATTGAGCCTGGCGATCTTGTTGGAAATTTTGGAAGTGGACAGTCAGGTAAAAAAAATATTGAATGATTCCTTCGTATCGTAAAATAATTTATGAATAAAAAAACAAGGGCAAGCTTCTCAGAAATCGTACCTTAAATAACGCGATTTTTGCTGAAAAATCTTACTCCACGTACAAAATTGCGTAACCTTTGTAATTTATTTTACGACACGAAGGAGTCTTGAATACCCTCATTACAAATTTTTGACCTTGCATCATCATAATTTTTTTTAAATTATGAAATTAAAAAACAGGCCAGATTGTGGGCAGTCTTCGCCTGAACGACAGCGGAGTTCTGCAACCTTACTTGAGTTACGGCGTTTGGGGTCAAGCTTGGCTGATACAGGTTTCGAACACCACCTTCCTCGCGGATTGGGACTCTGATGTCGTCCAAGTTTTTGCTACGGGCACGGTCCCCCCAGATTTCCAATTGTTTGTCGAATTCTGGGATGTGGACACTTTTGGCCTTGTGACCGGTGGGGCCCAGATGGGGACAGATTTTGTGAGAAATGTTACCCTCGATCAGCTCCCTGTCGTGCCTTATCTGCCAGACAGTTGTGGTCTGACAAATTTCAATTAAATGAATTCACAATATGCATGTAATACGAGTCAAGAATAGTTTACCGATTTTTGTTATAAAACCATTTGATCAAATAGTCGCCACATTAAGTTTGCAATGAATATTAATAAAGAAATAAAGTCAGAAATTTATGCATGAAAGTTAAAATTTCATAAACATACATAAATACATACATATATGGTATATAAATATACCATATATATTACGTAAATTTACGTAATATAACAAGGCGATATTTTTTATTTTTTTATTTATTTAATTTGTTATACAGTTTTATATTCGCAAAAATTGAGATGCAAATTATAATTTTGTATTTACGTGCAAAAATTATTTTTTAACATGCATTGTCATTAATTCTGCGTTGCATTTTTATTAAAGTTAAATAAAACATAGGACAAACAGTGGCGGGTTTAGCCAGCTCGGGGCCCCTAGGTGAATTTATTTGTGACGATGTTTAATATACTTACAATGTGCAGACTTGGGCTTCTCCGACTTTGACCGTTAGTTTTAAATTGCTCAGCAACAAGGAAACCTGCTTATTCATGAATGCGAGTGTTTTCGCATGTGGCGGAATTGTTAATTAAATTTCGGACAAACTACGACTTTCCAAAACCCTATTACTTTACTTATTTTAAGCCGATGTGACAAATTTTAAATGTAGCTTTCTGAAAATTATCTACCTCAAATTAGGAAAATACATTTCCAAAAACGTCTGACATTTAGAATTTTCATTCATGTATTTGAATATTTTAACAAATGCAAAAGAAACTCAAATTACTGAAAAATTAATGTTTTTGAGAAGGAAATTTTGTAAAATGTCACGAAAAATTAATGTCATGCCAACAGCAAAATGATTACATTTCATAGTTTCGTTCATTTCATTTTGCTTTCATTCTGATTTCATTTTCACGCCGTTTTCCAAAGTTAAAAGTGTTTCAATTTTGGAAAATTAAAATGACTTTAATTTATTTATAATCAACTGTAGCTATGGTTGCACTATATCAGGCTGCTTTGTAGGGCTTGCATATTGTATTTTTACTTGATAGGTCCTGTATCCTAGGTTTTATTTTGTGACATCTTAAATATTTTTATTTTATTTTGCTTTTCTGAACCGTGGTTTAGGGAAACAATTTGGATTCCTTCCAAATTTGGTATTTTAATTTTTAGTTGCTGTGAAAGCAAAATGAAATGATCGGAAGATTAATATTTCTTGAATTTCTGGGAAAAAGTATCAATTGCAAAGATGAAAATGACGAGAAAGCTATAGTGAAATGAAAACTAAATTAAAATGAAATGAGAAGTGTAAACACGGGGTAATAGGTTAAAAAATACTAGGTTAAGAGAAATTTAATAATTTAAACAGAACAAATTCTTTTGTATTTGACCAAATAAGTATGCACAAAAACATTAATCGCAGGAATTCGTTAAAAATCGTGTATTTTGGCTAGCACGTCAAGGGGCCCCCAATTTTATTAAAAATTATTTATCTGGAAAACATATAGAAATTTTGCGGAATCACGTGCAAAAATTATTGGAGCCTTTAAATAGTACCTTTTTTGTTTATGTCTACATTATCTACGTATCTATGTAGCTGCTTAACCATTTGTTCGCGGTTTCGCAAACTACCTGAACGTGAGTAAATATCACCAATTTATTCCTATATTTGTATTGCCCTATTATCCTTGAATTTATTTTTAGCAATTCGCTGGCAACTCTTGTAACAATTAACGCATAGTCTCAACCGGGATCATGCGTGCGGGGCCCCGCTGCGTGAGGGCCCCTACGTCACAAATACTTCACCTCCCCGGTTTACCCGGCAATGCACCGAGATGACGCCAGGCATGAAATACCAATATCTAACTGGAAGGGGAAACAAAACTCTATGGGGAAACAATCCTCATGCAAAATGAGTTGCCGGGACTAGTCCCCACGAGAAAACTACACACGTAAGTATCCATCTATACTAGCGAAGCTACATCAGTCATCAATGGACGCCAGGCTGGGGGCCCCCGCTGCGCGGGGCCCCTAGGTGTCACCTATGCCACATACCCGGTTTACCCGCCACTGAGGACAAAACACTGTAAAAACCGGTGTTAATCGTAACAGCACGGTGTTTCGTGTGAGTGCATATGATTTAACCAAATAGTGATTATGTTTTTCGCTGCATGGTGATATTCAAGTTTTGCCCACATGTCACTGGCTGGTATTAATTTTATCACCATGCGTGAGAAATATTACCACCATTTGGCGAAAGACAAAGGTACACCTTTTACCACATTAAACACATGGTTAAGAGTGTATGAATGGACAATATTGCACTTGTGTGGTGAAAAGCAAATGCGAGAGCCATATACATACATAGATCCACTGGATTAGTTGTACATATATGTAAATGAGCAGATCGCTTTCGTCGAAAAAGCACGGCACACATGCACAACGGAACATATTTACGTATTCTGCATATGCAATTTCCACTCTTATCTTACCCTCATGTAAAAGTTTGAACTTCTCAACATTCCTTTTTTAATACATGCACAGTTTTTTCAAATACCTTAGAAATATCATCTTTGTATGTATATGCATTGTTTGTTTCTTGCTCCCTGTCAACAAACACAGACAAACCGTGCCTCATAAAGATTTATCGTTTATCGAGGATTTCTTGGTAAAGAGGTAAACTCTAAAAAACCTGGTGTTAATCGTCACAGAACAGTGTACATATGTGACTCCTCCCCGCGGTGATAAGGTTTATCACCTAATGGTGGTAAACAAAATTAACACCGACCAGTGATTTGTTACCATGCGGGAAAAACAATATCATATGCGCATCGTTATGTGGCGACTAACACTTGATTTTTACGAGCGTATATAAATATGCACATATTTTTTAGAACTGTTGACTGCGGTTAGAAAATTATTAAGTCAACATGCATTAATTAATGGGGAACTGGTGTTTACATTTTAAATCTCATCGTACTTCTTCATGGCAGGATATGAAACACCTGTATGAGATATGTATGTAGGGTTAAAAAATTAGATATCTGTGTACATAGCTGCACATCCCAACCACCACGGAGTCCCACGAATTGAAGGGGAGTCCTTGTCTATAAGTATTTACTTAACTGTGTCAACGGTTAGGTCAACATCGCAGAAATTGTGGTTGTATGTAAGTAATGGGTGTTGATTTAATTCGTCCCGATGCTAGCTTTTTGGCTGAAATAACATATACACTAGGGAGAAAAATTGATAGGGCAAGACGAACCTCATAAATCAAATGACAATAATTGAGTAACTGGTGAAGTTATTGATTCCAATTCTCTTGAAGTTTATGCACCATTTAGTAGTCCTTCAGTTGTATTAAACTAATTTTTGAAAAATAAAATATTTTCGTATACATCAAATAATAGTGAAAAAAGTTAGAATAAATAGAGCAAAATTGTTCGGGCAAAATGCAATTTTATTATATAACTGCTTATGTGCTTGGTCTCCATTATGAGAAATAATGCGATTACCAAGACTCTGAATAAATGCAAAGAAATTACCCCCTTAAATATATAACATATGATCATCAGTATATTTTACCCCACATTACAAACTGCTATAACAAATAGTTCCTATATATGTACTTAGTGGGGTGACCAGAATACTCATTAATAGAGATAGCCAAGCCAGCGGCGGTAGCACATTACAGGCTAATTGCCAACTCCCCTAAGTACAATTGCGTTTAATATTGCGAATTCTGCCATTCGCGATCGTTTAGAAATCTTCCAGACTTAGCAATAAACCTTGCTAACCTGGCAAACGGCGTTTCAAGTAATTCCTCGGAGGTCAGATACGCCCCTTCGAGTACTATCAGTCTGGTCATCGCTAAACAATCACATTCTGTAATAAAGTGATACCCTGTTTCCTTCCCCTGTCCACATAAGCACCCAGGGGACCAGACAAGGTTCAAATTATACACATGTGAGTTCAAAGTATTACCTGAACCAGTTGGCGCAATGAATTACGGCTTAATTTTGCAATGTTTCCCAAGTTTGCCTGGTACGGCTCCTTAAGAAAGAGTTTTGTCTGCTTACACAGAAATAGTTCCTAACTTAGCACTGGATTTCTATAAGAAGGGTACCGACCATCCTAACATTACTTAATTGCATCTGTCTTGGGTTAATATTTTTTCCTGACTTTTGCATATCCTGACACCAATTCCCAAACAAAAATAACTGTAGCTATGGATACAATGACGGAACATAACGCCAGCACGTACGACAAAGCTCCGAGAGCCTGCTCGTCGTAAAATTGTATCCCACTTTCATGGTAGGTCGTCACCATCTTAAAGTTAGAACTCAATTTCGCAACAAACCTTGAATACGTTTCAGCCCCCAATTGTTTGATAAATTGCATTTTATAGTTTGATTTTTCAAGGAAACTGAACCGAACCAGAATTCCTGTCTCGGCCAAACGTCGCAGAAAGGCCTGAATTTCTGGAGATATGAAATTTCGACGACCATAGGCAACCACGCAGAAACGAAATGCGGCATCCGGATTATTCTGGATGACTAACCTTTTACCGAAAATATGTAATGAATCTACATACAGTTCTAAGTATTGGACCATATCCATGATTGCAAATGTACCCTTGGTCGTAATCCATTTTGAAGTTTCATTTGACCCAATTATTAATGAGTTTGACATATTTTTAATCATCGACATGAGTCCGTTGCCACCATGAATGTATTCCATTTTAGAATTCAACTTGTTTATAAAATTGTTATAACTTTCACCGAAATTTTTCTTTTGAACTTCTGGAATTATGGATGTTTTTAGGAGCGAGGTGATCTCCGGACCTTTCAAAGTTATGGAGTGTGTAAGCATTGGGGTAGTCGTGATAATGGTCATATTAGATGCGACAAGTTCTCTAGCCGTCTTTGGAACCTGGGGAGGATACATAACGGTCAAGTCGGAATAGATACTTCCTTGATAGAGATTCTCCATGAGAATGTAGCAAACAAAGAACCAAACTGCTAAAAGTGGGCGGGATACTTGCTTGTTTTTAACCTTTCTAATAATCTCGTCAGCAATGGCTTGTCCTAAGAGTATCGAATGAACCATAATGAAATCCTGGACGGATCTCATCGCACTAAAATTA